CTTCCTTCCTTCCTTCCTTCCTTCCTTTCTTTTTCTTTTTGTTTTTTTGAGACAAGGTTTCTCTGTGTAACAGCCCTAGCTATCCTGGAACTAGCTCTTGTAGACCAGGCTGACCTCAAATTCAAAGAGATCCTCCTGCTTCTGTCTCCCGAGAGCTGGGATAAAGGTGTGAGCCTCCACCGCCAGGCGGGCAAGGCTGTTTTCATAAGCTGTCTACCAACATTACACAAAGGAAGATAAAGAAACATTGGGTTAAAATACTGTCCTGCGTTCCCCACTTTGCTGTCTGATATGCTCTGGGAGTTAAAGTGCATTTTACTCCACAGAAAAATTCAAGAGGATGGAGTGATGCTAAGGGGTTGCTGGCGTCCATCCAGCTGCCTGGAGTGGACAGAACTGACTTCATGTTACACGCTAATCAGTGATTGAGTTGTGCATATGGTTCTGTCACTGAGCGAGGAGCATGTTACACGCTAATCAGTGATTGAGTTGTGCATATGGTTCTGTCACTGAGCGAGGAGCAAGGACAAGTTCATCACTTATTAGTCTGCTACAGCTCTCTTTAGTTTGACTTTATTAGTTACAGAAAGAGAATATTTCTTTTTTATCTGCAGTAGAATATTTTATATAATAAAAAATTAAAATGAGTGTTTTTACTATGTGTCTGTATGTGCACCAGAAGGTGCCAGACTCCCTGGAATGGATGCCTGTGAGTCACCACGTGGGTGCTGGGAACAGAACCAGGTCCTCTGGAAGTGCAACAAATGCTCTTAACTGCTGAGCCATCTTTCTACTCCACAATCGATACTATTGGTTTTTGGTTTATATTTTTCATTTCATTTTTTTTTTTTGAGACAGGGTCTCACTGTGTAGTCCTGGCTTTCCTGGAACTCACCAGGTAGATTTGGCTGGCCTCAAACTCACAGAGATCCACCTATATCTGTTTCCCAGATGCTGGGACTAAAGGCATGTGGCATTACACTCAGATTCCATAATTATTATTTTGAGACAAGGACTCTTTATGTAGTCCTATCTGGTCTCAAATTCATTGCCTGGCCTCAAGCTTGTGATCCCTCTGCCTCAACCCTCAGTTTCATTTAAACTTCTCTGAGCTTTGCTCTTCAGTTGGTACTGCTCCATGGTAATGTACACCCTTGTCACTCTTCCTTGAGGACCTTATCTTTAGGAGTCTCCTACTTCCAGGTCCTCCAGAAGACTCTGATAGGCAAGTGAGAACATCTACACAAGAGTCAACATGTGCAAAAGCCTGGCAGAGCATCAATTTACTTCAGTTAGTGTGGTGTTCTCGACTTCATTGCCCAGACACATGAGGGACGCCCTGCTGTAACACCCCGGGGCTGTGGAAAGCCCAGACTACCTTTCTCTTGCTTTTTGAGCTGCCTTATTCTCCCACGTGGCTAGAATTACAGGTGTGCCCTGTCAGACTCAGCTAAGCCCAGGATGATTAAAAGGAAAGCTCACTGGCTGTTGCTACTGCCAAGCAAAGAATGTACAAGTTCAAATTTGTGTGAACCATGTTGATAGAGGGCTGCATTGTAATTAATTCTAATGTTTTAGGAAAGCAAGAGCTTCCCACTGCGGTTTGAACATGCCTGTCTCCCCTAAACCTCACTGTGGTGGTGTTGGGAAGTGGGGCCTTAAGAGCTCATTCGAGATTTTAAATCTTACAGAGCTGGGCTGTTTTATGGGACAAATTAAATTACTGGAAAAAAAAGTTATGAACTGAGGCTGGTAAGGCACGCATGACGGCCACGCCGTTAGTCCCAGCAGAAGCTGGCAGATCTCTAAGCCAGTGTGGTCTCTACAGGGAATTCCAGGACAGTCATGGCTATGTAGAGAGACCCTGTCTCGAAAAACAAGCAAGCAACCCAGGCTGTGGTGCCGCACGTCTTTAATCCCCGCACTCGGGAGGCAGAGGCAGGCGGATCTCTGTGAATTCGAGGCCAGCCTGGTCTACAAGAGCTAGTTCAAGGAGAGATTCCAAAGCTACAGAGAAACCCTGTTTCGAAAAAAAAAAAAAAAACAAAATAAAACAAAAGATCAATCAAGCAAACAGACAAAAGAGGCTGCTCCTTGAGTCTGATTCTTCTGCACACAGCCACCCACTCTCTGATTCTTCTGCACACACCTGCCCGCTCTCTGATTCTTCTGCACACACCTGCCCGCTCTCTGATTCTGCACACACTTACCCATTCTCTTAATCTTCAGGCATGTTGCAATGCAGCCCAAGGCCCTCACTTTGTGGGACCCGTCTTAGACTCCAACCTCCAGAAACATGAACCAAGCAAATATCTTTTATTTATAAATTACTTAGACGTTAACTGGGCATGGTGGCATGCCCCTTTAATGCCAGCACCCAGGGGGCAGAGGTAGGAGGATCTCTGTGTGTTCTTGACCAGCCTGGCCTACAGGGTGAGTGATCATGGTTAACGCTGCCTGTGAGGCATATCCCCTAGGAGCTGCAACACTGTATTAACAATACATACCCAGCATCACTGTTTCAGCTGACATACTTCCATGGAGCTACAAAATGATGGCAGCTTGTTGAAATTAAATTCTTGATATCCAGATTTTAGCTCTGGGTGGGCCATCTCTAGCCCTGTCCTATCTTGGGAGAGATCCTCCAGAGTGGACAGGTGGTTTGATTCCGAGGATATAGACTACCTTAGATGTTCATCTGGGCAGAACGGGGTCTGGGTGCAACACCACCACTCATCCAAATCACACAATGTATGTGTTTATATAGAGAAGTATATAAAAATTAAGCTGAGTGTGGTTATTATAGGTACATACCTGTAACTTTAGCATCTGGGAGGCAGAGGCAGGAACAAGTCTATGAGACCAGCCAGGTCTGTATAACAAGTTTTAGGCTAGCAGGGGCTATATGTTTGATAACCTTCTCAAACAAAACAAGACAAAACACACATACAAAACAAACAAACAATAACATTAACTGTTGGCATGTGTATGTATAAATGAGGTGAAGTACCTGAATTATTTCTTTATTCTTAGGTAGAACCAGGCTGGTCAGTGGTGGGTCCAGGGAGGTGCCTTTGTCTCTTCCACTTAACTCTGTCTAAAATAAATGAATACATCCTTGCTAAGTTTTCCTTGTGAACATTGTGGACATATTGAATACACATTAGTCCTGTGGTTTCCACTCATGTTTGTTAAATCATGAGGATAATGCAACACAAAAGGAAGGCAAAGCAACATGAGTAACAACTCAGGAGAGAACTAATGTTTATTCAGTGCTCGCTAAATGCCAGGTACCTTTTAGTTTCCTATCTAGAGCTAAAGCCACCATAGGCTGCAGGTTTCTGCACTTCATTGTTGCAGATCAGAAAGCGAGTTCCTGGCCAGTGAGTAACTCTCACAGTACAGAGTTCTCAGAAATGCTTAGGAACACAAGTGTTTTGGGATTCGGATTTTTATTTTCTGATTTTGGAATATGTGCCTATACATATATGTGCATGTGTGTATATCTATAGAAAAGACATCTTAGAGATGGTAACCCAGTGTAAGCATAACATTTATTACTGTTTCGTCTGTGCACTTACACAATAACCTGAAGGTATTTTGTATATGTGTCATGTGCACAGTGCATGTGGTGGCCAGGGTGACATCAGGTGTGGAGTTCAGTCTAATCAGCCCAGGGGTCTTCCTGTCTGCCCCTGCGATAACAGTAGACGGCCATGCCTGGCTGTATGTGGTCCTCACGCTTCCACACAATAACTCATCTCCCCAGCCCCTTTTAACTGTGCATGTGTGTGTGTGTAAGTGGGCAAGTGTATACACGATACATGGATGGAGGCCATAGGACAACCCTTGGGAGCTTTTCTACTGTGGATTCTGGAAATCAAATTTAGGTTGCAAGTTGAGACACACACACCTTAATCCACCGAGGGATCTCACTGACCTTTATATAATGCTTGCTAATATGTTTTGTATGCAACAAGTTTCATGGTATAGTATTCTCCAGTTATGGAGTCCTGGAGGGGCTGGATTGGGCTGGAATTTGAACAGATTTCAAAGCTTGTGCTCTTGACAATTACATTAGACATTAAATAGTCCTCAATGTTGATTTGAGATGGTTGTGCCTGTGGGGGTTTCCCCAGGATAGCACAGGTGGAACTCACTGTACTTAATGTATTATTGTTAACCACAGATTCGCATTCTATACAAGGAAGGTCATTTTCTATCAGTTCTACTAAGAACCAGAATCATATCAACCCCACCCATCTCTCTCTCTCTCTCTCTCTCTCTCTCTCTCTCTCTCTCTCTCTCTCTCTCTCTCTCTCTGTGTGTGTGTGTGTGTGTGTGTGTGTGAGCTGACCCTAAGACTTTGGGCATGCCAGACATGCAGCCTACAACTGAGCTGATAGTCTAAGTCTTTTCCCCAACATTTAAAAA